CGCTCTTCATGATGCAGGTAAAAGGTTTTTGCTTTTCTGGTAGCTGTAGTATGAAATCTAGATTTAAATAATGGATTAATTTTCAGGTGGGCTGAATTTTTCTCTGTTAATTTTGGTCACTGTAGTAGGAGAAAATGTTTTACATCGTCACAATATTCGTCCGCAATAGCAAACTCGTTAACAGACTTGGCAGAGGCTGTAGGTCTGAAAGTTTCTTCTGATAACCATGAATTGTTTAGTAAAATCTCAAGCAAGTATCACGAGCAGTGTTTTAGAGCAATGATCTTAGGGTAAGATACCTTTGCTCTGGATTGTCTGAATCCTCGTTACGCTGTGGAGTACCTGGAACAGTCGTGTTTGATTTCTTTCTTTTCAGATTGTGTGAGAACTAAGCCGTAGAGCCTTGTCATGCTCTAATTTAGTTGCATGAATTTTTGTGAAACAAATACACCCAAGGAAGTGTTTGACATTTCACAAAGACTGTTTTCAGCAGTATATAACTTGCTCTTTCTTTTTCTCTTGAAAGCTATGTCAGACTGTTCCTCTAGCATACAACTACTGTGTGATCATGGGGCCTCAGTGAATTCAAAAGATGGAGTAAGTTGCTGCTTACAGCTCTCTCCTGTACAAACTCCATTGGAGTTCTTATGCTTTCTCTGCTTTCTCTCCCTTTACTTATTTCTTTCCCCCTTCCTCTCTTCAGGATGGGAGGACACCACTAGTGCTGGCCACTCAGATGTGTCGTCCCACAGTCTGTCAGCTTCTGATAGACAGAGGAGCAGATGTTAATGCCAGGGACAAACAAAACAGGTAAGGGGTGCAGAGTGGTGTCGGAACACCTGCGGACCTTAAGAGGGTAGAAAGCTGTCCCTTGGCTTTCAGGCTACAGAATGGTGCTGCTTTTGGCTGGGGCAGAGTTAATTTGCTTCCCAGTAGCTAGTGTGGGGCTGTGTTTTGGATTGGTGCTGATAACGCAGGGATGTCTCTGTTATTGCTGAGCAGTGCTTACACAGTCAAGGCCTTTTCTGCTTCCCACCCTACCCTGAGCAGGCTGGGGGGGCAGAAGAAGCTGGGAGGGGACACAGCCGAGACAGCTGACCCAAGGGATATTCCATACCGTATGGCATCATGCTCAGCAGATAAATCTGGGGGAAGAAGGAGGAAGCGGGGGATGTTTGGAGTGATGGTGTTTCTCTTCCCAAGTAACTGTTAGGCATGATGGAGCCCTGCTTTCCCGGCGGTGGCTGAGCACCTGGGAAGCAGTGAATGAATTCCTTGTTTTGCTTTGCTTGCACGCAGGGCTTTTGCTCTACCTGTTAAACTGTCTTCATCTCAACCCATGAGTTCTCTTACTTTTACCCTTCTGATTCTGCCCCCCATCCCTCCGGGGGTGGTGAGCGAGCAGCTGCCTGGTTGCTTAGTTGCTGGCTGGGTTTAAACCATGACAAGAACAAATATGCTCAAGCCAGTGGAAAAGAACCTGGGATTTAATTTGGAAGTAGTTGTGCTGATTCAATACTGTCGATAAGCGTGGCCTTTTCAATTGCTTGTTCTTGCATCTAAAATACATACAGGCTTGTTACTGACAGCAGAGAAACTGCACATGGTTACTTTCAGGGTTTTTCTATCCAAAGCTGCTTCTTGCACCCTTTGGGATCAATATGCAAAAGGGCTTTCCGTTTGTAGCTGCTACTTCTGCCAGTTATTTCCTGGAGAGCGGCTTCGTTGTGGCCAAAGGACGTGAGGCTGCTGTGGGACAAAGCCTGGGTACTTTTATTGCACGTTCTGAAGCTGGCAGGTGTTGGAAGGCATTGCCAGGGCTCCCAAGCACTTGCCCAAACTCTGTCTAAACTTTTTGTCGCATGTTTGTTGTGTCTATTGATGTTTGTACGTAAATAGAGAGCAAGCCAGAAGTCATGTGAGCTCTCAAAAACTGGGTGGCTCTCTCAGAGGCAGTAGGCTTATGCTGGGTTTCGTGGAAGTACTGTTGTTACAGTGTTTTTGTTTGCTTTTTAACAGATATTTAAACATTGACTAAATGACTCTTTAAAGCTTAGTTTCCTCTCTTGGTAGAGGACAGATTCCTTGCCTCAAGTTTCCGTGGTTGGACATAAGCTTACAAAGGATGATTTCTGTAAGTGGTTGCTCCGTGAGTCTCTGAATGCCATCTCTCTTCCCATCCCCAGGACTGCCTTGATGTTAGGCTGTGAGTACGGCTGCAAGGACGCAGTGGAAGTTTTGCTCAAAAATGGTGCAGATGTTAGCTTGACTGATGGCCTTGGTCATGACTGTGCTTACTATGCCAGAATTGGTGACAATATTGACATTTTGGCTTTGATAAAAGCTGCCGTTGAGGATTCCAGCAGAGGTATGAAGAATGTGACTTATAGCAGTTGGCTCTTGTTCTTTCATTTGAATTGTGTATCTTCCCACCACTCTGTCTTCAGGAACTGTTTTTGGAGGACAGCTGTAGTCATTTGAACAAAAAGGTGATAAACTGCCTGTTTGGGAGAAGAAAGAAGGCTTTTGGTTTCTGTTTGCTTCTCATAAAGCTTTTAAGGTTAATGCAGGCTCTGCTGCCTCAAGGTGTTAACCTTGCTGAACCTGGCATTGCAGTATCCATCGTAAGAGTTATTTAGTCTTATTTGTGGAAAAACTTTGTGTTTTTGAATGTTTCCATATCTGATTAACTGGAGGGATGGTAACTATTTCTTGAAACGTCCTCCCAAGGTTGCTCCATATCTGATTAACTGGAGGGATGGTAACTCTGTTTCTTGAAACGTCCTCCCAAGGTTGAAACTTGATAGAATTAGTTGACTGTGTTGCATGAGTCTGACTGAAATTCACTTTTTAACTACCTTTTATTGTGGTGCTTTTTTAGGAAGAGACACCATGAAGAAAGGGCAGCCTGAACAAAAGGTAAGGCTGCTGATACTACATACCTCCCAAGGCAGTATATTGCTGGTATTGTTGAGAGGGTGATTAAAATTGTCTTATGATGCAAAATTAGTTCAGTATTTTTTGAATTAACTTCATATGTAGCTGAGAAGATTCCCTCTGTAATCAGATGGTGTGTCTATTTCCATTTGAAAAATACTCGATGATGTGCATATTCGGGATTAGAGTTTTGACAAGCATCCCATTTACTGTCTGGGTGAGATCATGAGTGACCTCTTACTGAGAAGCAATCTGTCAAAATATGAATGTTGGTAGAATTGTCCCTCAGAGGGAGCTGGAATGGAGGCTGGGAGCAGCCCACTCTGTCCCCCCCACCCTGAAATGTATGTCTGCAGAACACAACAGGAACAGAAATTAATGCTTAACTGTTGCAATAACAGATCAGTAACATGTCACAGAAGTGGAACCGGCTGCATGCACAGGAGGAGGCGAATGTCATGCTGTATCAGAAGGAACATAATGCTCAGGTAAGTGAGCAGGATTTCTGTGACCTGCGTGTTCCCGTGTGCGTGATGAACCAGATGTGCTAAAGACCAGATGTGCTGTAAGTAGGCGTTAGCGATTCCGTTGAGAAAGTCTTCAATTCAGTTTTATGCAAACAGCAATATTTGACCTATCTAATGCAGCAGTTATGCAGATAAGCTGTAAAGTTGTTCAGGAAAAAAAAAATACTTGTCTTTGTAATAAATAGTTGCAAGTCTCTTCATGTCTTAACTTTTCTTATCTCGTAACCTTCTATCTACTACTTTGCTTGCAATGAAATCATAGGGTCACAAACCAGGAAGACTGATTTTTTTTTTTTTTTTTTTTTAACATTCTCGAGATGTATAAGTGTCTTACTAAAAGTAACCTGTGTCATAGTTGTTCTAATAACCAATATTAACTTTCTCATCTCATTACTATGTCATTACAGTTTTCAAAAAGGTAAACAACGTTTTAAGCTATGGGGAACAAACCACTGGGAAATTGAGGCCTTCGTTCTGAAATGCTTTGTAATAAAAGGATAAAGATCTCTAAATGCACCTTCTCTGGGTTGAGCTAAAGTAGTTACCACAGTTCAGAAGGCGATTATCAGGCAAGAGTTGAACATGCTTTCTTGTTTGCATGTGAGCACTGGACTGGTTGGCAGCACAGAGACCTACCGTTCTCGTGTTGGGTTTGTTGTGCGGTACTGGGCGATTCGTGTGGCTGCTGGGACAGTTGGCACGTTTAAAGGTTGCTGTGCTTCATGCCAGTGAGGCTTTTTCGTGACACCTTTGGCTGCAGTGGTTGGGTTTCAGGAGCTGTTTTGACATCAGTTATTTTCACCTGTTAACAAACAGCAGGTAAAGCAGCCTTCTGAGTGCTGTCAGCATTGGATACAGTCGTACTCTGCTCATGCTTTCAAAACCTGTATGTACACCTATATGAGAGAGAGCTATCTAGAGCTGAAAAGCTTGAAGACTCTGGAGCTTGTGCTTATGTAAACCTTCAGAATGCAACAGACCTGGAGTAAGGCCACAGAATTGTCAGGGAACTTGTCAGGCAAGGCTTGTTGTCTTTAATGACTTAAGATTGTTGGTTCAGGTTCTTTTAGATTTCTCAGTCTGTGTGTAATTCAGAGGTGTTTTGTTTTTTTTTTTTAATTTTACTTTTTTTTTTCTTTAAGGAATTGGAGTTGGAAAATCAAGATTTGAAAGATCGGATGAGAGAAGTGCAAGAGGAGCAGAGGATGCTGCTGGGTAGAATCAGTGGGCTACAGCTACAGTTGAATGAGGTAAACCCAGTACTGGAGTAACCACCTGCTGCTGACGGTGAAGGCTGGTGGCAGTGGAAAGGGAAGCACGTGTAGTTAGACGCAGGCTTCACTGCTTTCCTGTGAATTATTTCTGTATGTGTCACTGTCATCTGCTGCTGCAGAAGCCTTTGGTCTTGTAGTAATGGTCAAAGTGCGAGGAGCCGTGTTAGTGTCCTTCACTGGTACTCGTACGTGTGAGCAGCAGCATCTATGGCTGTCCTCTGCAGTGTGACAGGAACCATGAGGTGTTCTGGGATGTTGTAATTTGGGCAGTAAACTTCTCCTGCACAATTAAATATACGCACTGTGTGTCAGTACTTTATCACAGCTTGTTTTTCAGCTGTTATTGTAAGTGGAAACAGAAGGATCTTCAGTTGGCAAAATTGGAAACAAGGGTTTTCAACTGGGAATTTCTCACCCAAATTTGAAGCCCTGTTTTTAAAAAAGTTCCCCCTTCTTAGAGGTCTAAATGACCAGTACAATTGTGGAAGAAAATAAAAACCAAGACCTTTTTTTTTTGCTTTGTGGAGGCTCATGTTTGCTCTTTCACTATATTTTTGGAGAGGTATGTTTCAAAAGTGTGTGCAGCTTCCCCTAAATGTAGCACATGGATAGAAATAGTATTTTTTTCTCATAATCATTGGCTTGTCTGCACTTCTCTTAAGCATTACCTGTGTAAAACAAACAAATTAAAACCACATATTAACTCCTTAATAGTCACTTTACGAAAATCAGCAAACTTCTACTGAAAAACCATACTCTTCTGCCTCAGTAGTGTGTGGTCTAGAGAACTGGAAAAGTATTCCAGCTTCCTAGTATGCATGTCAAGAGACATGGCTCTGTCAAATGTCCTTAGCTTTGTTTGTTTTTATCTCACTTGCCAGAGGTTAGGTGGTAAATGGAAGGGGAACAGTCAGAAGCATGTAGCATTAGAAACTGGGGTAGACCTGTCAACTAATAAACTTGTGTATAAGCCCCTTAAACATTATTGAAAAAATGATTTGTGGGGGGATTTTTTTTGTTATTTTTGCAGGAGCAAATGTTTGCAGATGATCTTGAAAATGAGGTATGATGCATCACTGTAAAGTGTAATAGAACTAAGAAATAAGGGAAGCGACTATCGTATTTCAGTAATGGTATTTAAATCTATAGAGAAAAGAAAAGCTATCTATAAATGCTAAATGAAATATCTGATATGTACTCAGTTTATACAGCTGCACTGCGTTTATGTTCCTACAAATAATATACATAATCCCTATGGCACCTTTAAAACAGTCTTAATGTTGTAAGTATCTCTTTAGTGACTTTCAGTATTGCAAGGCTAAAAAATGCAAATAAACTAAAGAACAGCAAATTATGTTGGTGCATGTTCCCTTGACTTAACCTTCAAGACTCCTTGTAGAGGAGCAGTGTTGTAGAAGAACTTCAGAATCAAAAATTTAGGTATTCTTTCAGCACTGATTTTTGGTTGAAGTTCTCCCTAAACTTTTTTTAAAAGTTACTTGAGATCTTATAAATCTGGCCATTCTTATGGCTTTGGCAATTTGTCACTCTTTCTCTTTCAGAAAGATGAGTTGAAGAAAATCCTAACTACCAAGGAAAAACAGCAGGAAGAAAGCTTAAGAACTATTGAAGCTCTCAAAGCTAAACTCAAATATTATGAAGTACGTTAATTGATTTGTAATATTATCTAACAATTGATACTTGCAGTAGTAAATACTTAAGCAATTTTAAATTGTTGAAAGTCTTAAATGATTGTCTTATTGTAAAAGCTTTCCCTGCCCTTTAATCCTACGCTTAACACACAGTAAAAACTTGGTATTAATTTTCAGCTTTATTTTTGTGTTTCTTGCTGCTTGCTTTTAGGTTGACTTTGCGGGACCTGGAAGTGGCTTTGGTAATCGTGAGTATATTTAATTCTTAAAACTCGCCGTGCGTGACGTGGTGTTAGAATACACAGACCAAGGGTGGGGTTTTTGTCACCTCTTCCTTGTGTTGGTCCTACCAGTAGCCAAGCCCGGTGTGTGTGTGCCCACGTCAGACCCCAGCGTGCAGTCTGGTTTGTGCAAGTGACTTCGAGCACAAGACCTCGGCTCACGCTTCTGTTGGGAATTATTCTGTTTCTGGAAGTCAACGTCTTCTGCATCCGACTGGGTTACAGGCCTGCCTTGCACTTGTGTAACTGAAAATGTTACTTAATCCGTGCTGAGCTGTTGGGAGCTGTCTGCCTGCCTGTCGGGAAGGGTCAGTTATTGGGAGTGCAGGAGTTTGCTTTTCCCTGGGGTGCTGGTGTGCAGGCATGCCCACAGCTCAGGGTGGCTCTCGTGACTGTTCTGCAGAGCCATACCCAGCCTGGCGTAGCAGGGGTGGTTTATTCCTTAGCAGAAGCTTGTCCAGACTTCCCTTGTGACTGAATTAAAGTGGAATTGTTTCAATACCGAGTACTTACGCACCAACTTGCAGCCTGGTGCAGTCCCACTGAGCACAGTAAAATTAGGAAGGAAAATCATAGCTCCTGTGTTGCTGTTTCTAAACGGAGGCTAAATGCTGTTTGCTTTGCAAATCTAGGGAAAGAAGATTTACTGCTTAAACAAAGCCAAGTGTTTGCTGTGGAATCACAGGTAATAAATATTTTTCCTGTTGAGAGAATATAATGAAGATATTTAGCTTTCCCAAGCATAACTATACCTACAAATGTACATGTATTAAACATTGCTTTGGAATACACCATTTTCAGTACTATTTGCTTTGTTTATTTTTAACTGCTGGTGCCCTCTAGAGTTACACATGTGGCATAGCTGTGAGTGCTGTGGGACGGTCTGGTCTGTAATGGGCATCCTTAAAACTGAATCAACAGACTACTGGATCTCATTGTAAAATGCAATTGTTTTTTTATCTCCATTTTTTTATACTTGAAATATTTTGTTATACTTTAAATTCAGCTAAAATTCAGAAGACTTTAATTTCCTGCTAGTTATACAATAATTTCCTGCCAATTTTGTTTGCTGACAGCAGCTAACTACCTTTTAAAGCAGCAATTCAGTTATAAACGAGGTCCATCAGACCCTTAGAGCCCTATATGATAGGGATTGGTCCTAACTGACAAACTGCTCTTACACTTGAGCATCCCAGCTGTAACGCTTCCAGAAGTAAGTGATGGCTCGAAATAGATCTGTACATCCTACACTTTCTTGCCAGATTTCACTGATATATGTATTTTGTGTGTTCTGGTAACACAGAAAAATCCTCTCTCTTCTGCCATGTTTTACATAAGGTTGTCCTAATAGTCTTAACAGGTTTTTTTATTCTTAGTTGGAGTTTAAAATGAGGTCATGTACAATTCTTGAAAAAAAACCCCAAAAAACAGGGGGGGGTTTGGGCATAAAAAACCAATCAACCAAAAAAACCCAAACCATGTCCCAAGCAGGAGTTAAGTGGCTTTAAGCTGGTCATGCCTGGAAGCTACATACTGCTTTGTGGTCCTTGGAACGTGGATGAGATCTTTGGAGTAAGCTTGTGCCATGAAATAGCTGTCATGGCTGGTGGCGAAGCGAAGGTTGGTAGTGAAGACCACATGGCAGGAGGGCAAAACTGGTGGGTTTTCTTGAGATGACCTTTACTGGGCAGTTAATCAAATGACTGTTCCCCCTTAGTCTTTTCAGAGAGAATGTTCTGTTAACCATGATGTGCTCTGTTCTGTTTCCTTTTAAAATTATATTCACATGCTTGAGGGATGGAGGACATCTCTTAAATTTATTCTAGCAGATGAGTGATTAAATATGAATAATAAGGGAAATAAAATATACTATACCTGCACTTTAATGTCAGTGGGGTCTGATGATTGGGAATTAGTAAGGTAGAGCTATATTCAAGATTTTTATTGTTAAAAACTGAAATATGCATGTTCTGTAGTATGGGCAAGAACAGATGAGTGTGTTTCTAAGAAAACATCTCTTGGATAAATTTTATGCTCATATCATCATAGGTTTAAGACAGTTGTGTATATGGCAGTTCATATGTGTGTGACTTGTCAAACTTGTAACCCTATATCTATTTTGTGCCCATTTATCTTCAGTCTCGGTCTATGCTGAGACCCCTGGAGCTCTCCGTACCGAGCCAATCATCCAGTTCAGAGAAGGAAACTTTAAAGAAAGAACTTGACAGCATGAGGACCTGCTATGGTGCAGCAAAAGAAGAAATTAGCAAACTGCAGAGAGAACTGTCTCACAAGGTATCTGAATGTAAAGCTTTGGCATCAGAGTGTGAAAGAACCAAGGCGGAATCTGATGGACAGATAAAACAACTGGAAGATGCTTTAAAAGATGTACAGAAAAGAATGTTTGACTCTGAAGGCAAAGTTAAGCAAATGCAGACCCACTTTCTTGCTCTGAAAGATCACCTGACTAACGAAGCTGCTTCGGGAAACAGTAAGCTAACAGAGGAGCTGAAGGAGCAGTTGAAAGAAATGAAAACAAAGTATGAAGGAGCCTCTGCTGAAGTGGGAAAACTAAGGAACCAGATTAAGCAGAATGAATTGCTGGTGGCAGAATTTAAGAGAGATGAAGGAAGGCTAGTGGAGGAAAACAAAAAGTTGCAGAAGGAACTTGTTAAGTTGGAGATGGAGCGAGATAAAAGGGGAAGAAATGTCATGGAGTTAGAAGGGCAGCTCAAAGAAACGGCAGTGAAGCTAGCCCACTCTGTAACTTCAGAGAAATTTGAAAAAATGAAGAGTTTGTTGTCAAACGAAGTGAATGAAAAAGCAAGGAAGTTAGCAGAGATAGAAGGAGAGCATGAAAAACTGCAGGCAGAGATTTTGCTTTTGAGAAGGGAATCTGAGAATCAGAAAGCTAAACTTGCTCAGCACGTAAAGCCAGAAGACCATGAACAAATGAGGAGTGGGTTTGAGCAAAAAAATGAGGAGCTTGGGAAGACAATTTCTGAATTATCACAGAAGAATCAAACTCTGCAGAAGGAACTTGAAAGATTGCAGATCGATAACAAGATGCTTAAGCAGCAAATCCAAATGCTTAAAACTGAAATTAAAAGCCAGAATGTGCCTTTAAAAATTCATGAAGAATTGAAGAAAACAAATGATCTGGCTGTTGGTGACCTGACAAAAAAGCTTTTTGAAGTAACAAAGAAGTACAATGAAAGCAAAGCAGAAGCTGAAAAGTTGCTGGCAGAGAAGACCAAGTTAAGTGAGAGTGTCGGCCACTTCCAAGCTGTGTACCTGTCTCCAGAGCAGCACAAAAAAGAAGTGGAAGCTCTAAAATCTAATGGCATTGAACTTGGAAAGCAGCTTGCTGAGCTTCAGAAGAAGTATGATGATGAACAAGCAAAAGTGTGCAAACTAGTCTCTGAAAACACGGTCGTAAGAGAAACGCTCAGGGATCAGTACGTGTTGGCTACAACACACGAGGAGATCAAAACAGTCTTGAATAACACACTAGAAAAGACTAATAGGGACCTGTCAGATCTGAAGGAAAAAACTGAAGAGATAAAGCAAGAATTCCTGAGGGTAAATGAAGAAAACGGAGCTTTGAAAAGTAAGGTGAAACTCTTACAGAATCAGTTACAAACTGAGTATATAAGTTTGAAAGATCATGAAGCTGCAGTGACTACGTTAAATAAAAGCATGCAAGAACTCCAGGAGAACAACGTTGCGATTACAGCTGAATATAAGAGGGGTCAAGAAGAAATCTTCCAGTTGCATGCAGAAATTGAAGCCCAAAAGAAGGAACTCGACACGATTCAAGAATGCATTAAGTCAAAATACGCCCCGGTTGCCTCCTTTGAAGACAGAGAACAAAGCTTTGAAGCCACAGTGAAAGAATTAAAAGCACAGTTGCAAGAACAGGCACAGAAGTGCAGAGAAAGTGAGGAGGAAAACAAGAAGTGCAAACAGGAGAATGAAAAGCTCAAAAACGGCGTTTTGTCCATCCAAAACAACTTGCAGCAGAACTATGTACTCGCTGAGAAGTCCCGTGAGATGGAAAAAATGTTCACGAGCAAAATGGAGGAGTTGAATAAGCAATTGAGAGAATTGCTGCAGAAATACACAGGGCAAAAAGAAGAGAAGGATGAGCTGCAAGAGAGTACCAAGCAACCCGTAACTGTGCAGGCTCAGCATCTTTCAGTAGAACAAATGGAAGCCTTGAAGGAGGCTCTTGGTCACACTGTGGAGGATCTAAAGGAAGCCCTCAGAAGTAAGAAGGAATGTTATGACAAAGAAACACTAAAAGTAGGAGAACTACAGCAGGAATTGTCCGATCTAAAAAAATCTTCAATACCTTTGGTAGAATATACACGAATGAAGGAAATGCTGGAACAAGAAATCGTAGCAACCAAAAACAGCTTGAAAGAAAAGGAAGAAGAAAACAGAGTTAAAAATGAGAAAATCTTGACATTGCAGTCCGAGGTTCAGCTTACTCAACAAGCTTTAACGGACTTGGAGAGCAAAGAAGTGATTGACGTATCAGAATACAAATCCATGAAAAGTACTCTGGAAGCCCAAATTAATAGCATAGCTGAGAATTTGTCCAATATGAGTAAGAAGTACGAGGAAGCATGTGAAGAGGCTCTGCAAGCTAAAAAGAGTGAGCTTGCTTTGAAGGATGAAAAGGAGCTGCTTCAGTTACGGAGTTGCAGTATTGAACAAGAAATTAAAGACCAGAAAGAAAGGTGTGATAAATCACTGACAACAATTATTGACTTGCAGAAGAGAATACAGGAATCTGCAAAGCAGGTGGAAGCCAAGGATAACAAGGTAGGATGTGTCTGTTGATGCTCTTGATGTTTTCAGGTTGGTGGTTAAGGAACTAGACTTCAAATACAGCTACTTAAGCATTCAGGTGCAGCTTTGTGTGCTGAGCGTTAGGTACCCAGGACTGACCCAGATCTGCTGAGGTGAAGTCCTGGGTTTGGTAGCATGACACTGAGTTTTCTAGTTCCTTGTGTTTCAAACATCATATATAGTATTTAAACTCTATTAAAACTTCCAAGCCGAGTTTCAGACTCTTGGGATATAAGCTCGTTCTTCTATTGGAGCTGTATTTGTTGAGCATCTCTGACTTGCCTTCTGACTGTTCATTGTCCTTTTTAGAAATTAGTCCTGGAATATTTTGGAGCATAAGACACTTCTGTTGCTGGCTGACCTCCAGGGTCCCACAGACTTCAATGTTAGGAAGCAGAATGTGAACCAGTGATAGGATGAAGCCCTCTATCTCTCTTGGCCAGTGTGATGGCAAGCTGGGACAAGACCCTTCAATGCTTGCTGATGGTCACCAGACTTCAAAAAAAAAAAATGTTAAAGAATATTAGTTTTCAGTAATGGAGACATCCTTAAATGATGTTTTTGTGTACTTTTTTTTTTAAGATAACAGAGCTGCTTAATGATGTTGAGCGGTTAAAACAAGCTCTTAATGGCTTGTCTCAACTTACTTACACTACTGGGATTCCCTCGAAGAGGCAGAACCAGCAGGTTGAAATGCTGCAGAACCAAGTGAAAACATTGCAACAACAGCTAGCCGTAAGTAATTAATCAATGTGGTAGCATTGCCTGCTGTTTCTTGAATAATGAAGGTCACTGGAGCACTGGGGTTGACTGTAGGCTTAGGCTACAAAAGTAAAATATTAATGATTTTTTTATTCTTGGGAACTTCTATAGATGAAAGGGACAAACAATTTGGAGAACTTAAGCTTACGAGTTATGCTGCTATAGTCCATACCAAGACCATTTCTGTATGTGAGTTCCATGTTAATATTTTGTGGCAAAAACCACCAGCCGTGTATTTTCTGACTTTCTTTCAAAGTGAGGTGGTCCTTTCTTAATGGATTTGACTTTGTGTTCCCTTTTCTGCAAACAGTGTGGAGTCTATTGCTTATCACTAAGTACTGAGAGTAAAGGGGAGCACGGTGGTAAATACTGTGGGTTTGTGCACAAACATGTTTGTGGCCCCTGTGACTCCAGTAAAGCTCATAATTAAAGCTACATAAGCGAGCAAAGTTAGTGATTTGTGAATACAGAAGCAGGATCCATCTTTAATAGTATTTGCAAGGTTGACTGTTACAAGGCAAAGTGTTCTTAAACTGGGTGGTTTTAAACAAATAGCTAATGCTGTTGATGAAACAAGTGTTTACTCCTAGCACCTGGGCTGCCACACTAGATCAGCCTGTCTGGTAGCCTTTCAGCAAAACTGCTTTGCTGCAAGTCAGCAATAAAAAGTGAAACAATGACTTTTTTTCTTGATTAATGGAGGGGATATAGCTAACTTTAATCTTGAAATTCTGCTTTGGCTAGTCTGGAAGTGCACAAAACCAAGCCCACGAAGTTGGAAGTAGGCAAGAGTAGATGTTAAAAACTTGATGACTTCACCTCCTCTTCGTCTCTTCTGTTTTTATAGGATGCTAAAAGGCAGCATCAAGAGGTAGTTTCAGTTTATCGGACACATCTTCTTAGTGCTGTACAGGTATGACAGGTCCAAGTTCGGGTGGTTTTACTCTGTCGTCTCAATGTAGAGATTCTTGAGGCTTACTTCTAACTGCCATACTGGGAGACCTCAAACTTGAAAGTTGCATCAAGTACCTGCGTTCATGTTCAGAGTTTTAATTTAGAACAGACTGATCCAACAAAAAAGCAAACACACCCCACAGCTGGAGTCTGATTGTGCCATCTGCTTATTGCCATTTGTCTACGTGTAACTATACATAACAGTCTGCTTTGAAGGGTGATGGTGTCTGATCCGAGCGTGTTATTAATTCTGCATCGTCCCAGCTCGTGTTGGAGAGAAGTCGAGTAGAAGTTGGAAAGTTAATGCAGACTTATCCAGTGGCTCTCACCGAACGAAGAGCTGATCAACTAATTTAAGTCTTGTGACTTCAGATACTTAAGTGTACAAAAGAGACCGTTACTACAGCAGCAGGCTGTGGAGTCCAGAGGATAGGATCAGTAGTTTTTTCCCCACATGGTGTTTTCATAAAGGAAACTGCTGTGTTGGCAAGGCAGACCCTTCTTTTTCTCATGAGGAGAAAAAAAAAACAAAAAACAAAAAACAGGATTCCTAAAGCATTTCAGATTTTCCCAGAGTGGTGAAAACACAGCAATGAGTTAAGACTTTTGGGTAATTCTGAAGAATCTCCTAATGTTAGTGATGTATGGTTGACACTTGATGGAATCTAAAATTTTTCTTTTAATTGTTTGCTTGCTCTAGGGTCACATGGATGAAGATGTCCAAGCTGCTTTACTGCAGATCATTCAGATGAGACAGGGACTTGTCTGCTGACGTGCTCAGTGCCATTGCTCTGGAAGGCTGCTGCGTCTTGTAGGAGTGCTGTGATTACGGTAGTGATAACTTAACGAGATTTATATAATTATGATCATATAGCTGCAATCAGAACCTGCAAATACGAAAACGTATAAAGCTGAAATACTTTGTTCTTGTAAAACAGCAAAATAGGGCTACTGAGTTTGAGATCTGACACTTCTTTCATTAGGGTAATAAGAGATGTAGAACACCTTTTAAAATTGGTATACAAGCTGACTGTCAAAATGATGACATAGTCCTTAAATGGTTTTAATGTCTGATTGACCACTTCTTAAAGCAAGGTCTGTACCCAGAAACTCCAGTTTATCCTATAACTTGAACTCTCACAATATGGTTAAAAATAAATGATGTTCAAATGAGCTTGGTTAAGTATTGTAGCTGTATATCTCCTTTAGTGATTAAGAGAAAGTGGCTATTTTGTCACGTGAGCTGATGGAGACACACTACAACGTGCTTAGTAAGTCAGCTGCAAAGGTAGATGAAAAGTGTTTAGGTGTATATGTTGTAACTTGGCTGGCCAAGTTACAGACTTTATTTAAATTTAAGCTTAAGATGTAGTGCCTTGGCTTTTTGCAAGACTTAAAAATCAGGTTTTCTATCAGAACACTAACTTTTATGTTTGCTTCCCCTTCTCTCTGCCCCCCAAGATTTGTCATGAATGCTTTGTAGTTGATTAGTGTAGGCTGAAATAGTGGCACTGGAGTGTCGTGGCTTGTAGAGCAGCGTTTTGATCTAAATACAGCAGTCCTGCTTCTGTATCATTTTGTTCTTCATTAGGCCTGGTGTGGGTGTAGACTGAGCAGCTCGTTCAGCTGTACACTAGATAATTCAGGTATTGGATTTTCAAACACTATCTCATGGAAGTTTTAGGTATTTTCCTCTTAACTGTAAATTATGTACTATAATCTTATTTATGGGGAAAGATGCAAATAGGATTAATGAAATGAGAATTTTTACTTGCTTGGAATCTACCTATTGAACAAGACAGGGCTTCGTTTTTAGCTGAAGGATGATGTTCCCATAAGTAAGTTTTATGAAAGAGAAAGTGAAATTTGGGACTATTCAAAGGAAGCAATTGCAAAATGAGCCTGACAAGGTACGTGGCTGTTTTCGTAGAGCAAACGGTGTGAGTGCTGTCACTACCGTGTTACCCTCAGCTTGCTTGGTTGAAAGCATTTGCTTATAACTAGTGAGTAGGAATCTGGCATCCTGATGCAGAAAAGACAAACTTCTTCCATGTTCCTGAAAAATGAGGTCTGAGGGTGGAGTTCTCTGCTTCGTGTTACCTGTTTTACACGCTGTACCTCACAGGCTTAGGTCTCGTTTTTTTTGAGTAGTATTATGTTTGTTTCCTATTTTTGTCCCTTTTTGAGCAGTCCCCTTGTAGAATTACAGAGACAGCTGCCACTTAGAGGAGTATGCAGACATAGTGATGAATGTGCAGGGCAGTTTTTATTATAAATACACTTAATATATTTACTAAATATGTGTCTGTAGTTAAACAGATCTGCTGCTGCTTTCCTTTAATTTCTTAGAGGACTATTACAGAAAACATCTCAGTATATATATGTTACTTTTTAGCCAAGTTCTTTTATTATTGCATTACTTGAAGCTCTTATTAGAGAGAATTTGTTTTGATATACTAACTCTGGTGTATTTTGATATTGTATGGTTCCTTACTGAGGGAGTTCTATGTATGTTTTTCTAAATTTCTTCCCTGTTACATTATCAATAAAATGTTTTCTTCTTTTTTTTATTGTAGTAGTCAATTCTGTAAAAGGTAAAGAAATGCAACTAGTTTGGCAAAATAGTCTGGGTAGTGAAGGATATTGAACTCACTCGAATACTCCTGAATACCAGGTAACACATTTGGTTTTCAGAAGCCCACTAAGTTTATTGGGTTTATCCACCTGTTTCCAGAGTTTATGGTTGGCAAAATTTTGGTGACAGTAATTGAGAGTCAAAGCTTCTGCCAGTTACTTCAGAGTAAATCAGCTCTGGCCACTTCTGCACCAACCAGGGCGAGCAATAGGTTTGGGGATGAGCCAGTGGAGTTTTACTACTGCTTTTAATGAAAGCGTGTTCACTGAGTAGCTTACCCTGCTGCCTGATTTCATGCCCAGCAAGCTTTGCAGAATAATTCTTGGCACTACCAACACCTATTCGTTTGGTGTGACTCAAAAGCGAAGGGCCCTCTAATTTCACCATTAGCTTAATTTATTTTTGGTTATTTGGATTATCTTGTCCAGCCAGTGGGACATGAAAATGAGTAAGATTGTCAAGTTTTAGGGTATGAACAGTGTAGGTGAAACTTTACTGTATTTAAACAATGACTGGAACAATGTTTCTGCTTTGGATCTTTGAAGGAGTTGCTTGTACTCCGAGTTAGTAAGCAGAAGATCTCTTTAGGGTTCTTGTAAATCTCTGACTTTGGGGGGCGGGGAAGTGTATGAGTATATATGCATTTGAATTTCTTCTAGAGGAACTTGCACTTAGGTAGAATGTTTCAAGATTTGATGTGTCTAAACCTTCCCTCTGCCAGTAGATACGTTCCATCAACTTTACTGGGTCAGCTCGTCTACAAGGTATTGTGAAGTGCTTTTTTCACTGATGACTTTCTGATGGCTCCGTGTGTTCTCAGGGGTACTATATGGGTGTTTTGATCTCCAACCATGTTGTTTTGTGCAGAGTGAGGCTAATTATTTAAAAGCTTTTTCAATTATATTTACATCATCTTTTTTAGTAGACAAAGTAATTTCTTTCTGCTACAGGATTTTACTTTTTCCATCTTTGGTTCAGGAGGAATGGAGAGATTAACATGTCACTTAAACACCAGCCTGAAACATCCTCAAAAACAAGCTGTTGGGTGAAAATATTGACTGTTACTCCACTCCTTGCCCCATACCAGTATAGACACCTGGAAATGCTGAGGTGGTACATGTCTAAGTCTCTCACTGTGTTGAGACTTGATTGTATCTGCTGTTCCAGCAGCTGAATTAAAGTGGATAGATCTGAGGTTTCTCATTATGTTGAATGACTTCAAGATCACTTTTGCATCTTCAACCCAACGTCATGTTACTTGGAGTATGAATATGATTACTGGCTTCATCCATTGCAGTACATTTTTTTTAAAAGGAATAACTAAAATCACCATTTTTCTATGAAATGTGAATTGATAGCTGGGTTTGGGAAGTTGTGAGGGTGTTTTGGTTTTATTTTTTTGTTGTTTTTAAACTGTTTCCTTAATACTTCTGTGTCTCCTGTTTAATATGATACAAAAATGAGGTGATTAAGTTGAGAAGTTGCTACTTTTTGGGGAGGTGGAGGGAAACCCACCATGCCCAGTTATGCATCTTCTGTAGTAACATTTCAGTTTTACATCAGAAAGCAGCTTCCTTTTTGAAAGAGCAGTGCCACAGAGCTCTTGCTGGCTTAGTGTCAGCAGGTGGTTGTGGAGTTTTAATTAGGGTTACTCTGCCCTTTGCATTACACTGTTCTTAATAGCAGGGTCATACTTGGGAAGAAAGTACCACCTGGACCTTCAGGTACTTCCCTGGGAGGAAAGTCCTACTTCAGAAATAAATGCAAGATAGAGAATGCCATAGAAATGAGAAACTAAATCTGAATTTCCTTGGGAACACTGTAATTCAATATTTCTGGTAATACATGGTAGCTCAGACTCTCTTTGTTACCTTGGCGTTGGTGTTACTATAGCGTGCAAGAAAGCTTTGATAGGTGTGGATTGTTTAAATACTGCCCACAGGCTCACTCTGAGCAGGTCCCTTGGCAATGCTGTCTGAAAGTTTGAGGGCTTTTTGGCTCAAGTGACTCGTGAAGGTGAAGGTAAAATCTGAGCTGTGACGTCCCCACGGCAGTGGTAATCCGTGTGTTTGGTAAAATCAACCCTGAGGTATCAACCACCCAGTGAAGGAAGCTTTCTGTAGTGGTGTATTCATGGACAAACATCGCCAGTAAATGAAGAAATGAGGTCCCAAATGTCAAACATAAACGGGATGCATCTCAGAGGTTGGAGGGGTGCTTCACAAGAGGGGTTTTGTGCTCTGTTCCATGGAACAGTAAAGCAACGTTAACAAGGTAATGCAGCTTGTAACTGAGTGTTGGCACAGTGTCCCTGTTATGGAATGGTTCTTTTCAAAGTGAATATGTGACTTTTTTTTGTTTTGAGTAGCTGACTTGGAAATATCTCTGAATCCTGGAAAGTTTATAGAGACTACTGCTTTTTTAATCTAATGCTTCGTATTGCTCTGCCAACTCAGAAAATTAACTTTTAATAGAAAAAACATACATGTAATTCAGTCACAGCTATTAGATCAGATGGATTTTACATTAAGTGAAAAAGATGTTGAGCATTTAAGGGCCATTAAATTGTGAAGCTTTTTATTGTTGGACTCGTAGCCTTCAAGCCAGCGCTCCGCTGTGAAGAATATTTATTTTTACATTTGCGAAGTATGCTAGATGATGGGAAGGGAAGACGTTTTAAAGGAAAATAGGACATGAAAATGTGATGTTTTTCCACTTTGTGAACAGCTAGTTTTATTTCATAATAATTAGTTTTACGCTTCATTAAATGTTGGGGGTTTTGCTTATATGCTTTTAGAATACAGTGGAAAAGAATTTAAAAATTCTCAGCAGGGCATCAAGTTAGAGTTGTAGAATCTAATGGGGGTGTTTCAAAGTAAGACAAGATCTTTTTAAGGGTTCCTCTTGTGGGTCAAGTATACTATAAGAATTATTTTGGGTGCAAAATAACTTCTGGTTGGTGTCTTGTCTTGCCATACTACCTGCTGGAGTTTAGGTCTTGTAAGATATTGACTTATGTACCAATGGACAAACAAAAGATGAGTATAAAGCAAGTAAAGTTGTAGTGGGATCTGGTCACAGCAGATTGGGACAAGTGACTCTGTCTTCAAGCAGCTCTGGGGCTCGATGGGTAGGAGTACTTGTGCCTTTGGTTTAAGGGAGTCTATAAACATCACAGCTGTGAAAAAAGGTGATCTTCTGTGACCATCCAGATGTAGTCCAACTTGCAAATTCCTCTGAAAGTAGTGAAGGATTTTTTGAGGGGAGCAAGGATGGGAGGGGTGAAGTAGATGATCTTTTGTCAATGGGAAATTCACTAGGAGAAAGTAGGAATAGATGTTTTGAGGAGGAGGGGGAGAAATGTGCCAGTGGTGGGATACCAGAATAAAAACCCTCCCAGAACAATGAAAATGGCTCCAGCTTCAGGGAAACAGCCAAAACTGTTTGTTGGAGTTTTTTGTGCGTATGTCTAGGAGGCCAAGGACTTACAAGGAGTGCTTGCTGCAAGCGAGAATAATGGACA